CTCAGGCCTCAATAACATACTGAAAACATCCTCTGAATGTTGCTTGGAGAATGTTCTTCATTTGTTATCATGTAACATTGAGGGAAGGTTTAATAAAAAACATCTTTAATGTGTTACCCAACAACGTCCAAAACACATCCTTAGAATGTTGCAGGCAAAACGTTCCACCTTTGTTAACATATCACATTAAAGGAACATTTTATAAAAAAGCTTTCTTTCATCTCAGGCCTGAATAACATCCTCAAAACATCCTCTGAATGTTGCAGTTAAAACGTTATGTCTTAGTTAACCTTAAACCTTATAGGAACATTATTTGAAAAAATAAACATTCTAAAAACGTTCTTTGAACATCAGATTAAAACGTTTCTTTAAAACCTTATTAGAACCTGTAGGTAATGTTAGCCAAAAACTGTGAGAACGTTACCCGCTAGCTGGGTTGTCCTTTCGAGTCATCTGTCTCAAGTCAAGTGTCAAGTCATGAATACCAAGTCAATTTAAAGTCAAGTATTTTATCAATGTTAGTCAAGCAAGTCTCAAGTCCAAAAATATGCAACTCGAGTCAAGTCATGTGACTCGAGTCCCCCACCTCTGGGGGCGCGGCTGTTCTTATGTTCTCTGAGGGGAGGCTCACCTTCCCACACTTTGAAAACCCCTGCTCTATGATATGGTTGTGTAAAAGGGCTTAGGCCATCTTACAATAATAATGATCTATGTCTATTGATAGTGAATTTAGATTTGAAAAAGAAAGTGTTCAAAAATCAAAAAAGAATACGAAGAGAGTATGAAACGGCTGGTTTGTCTTTTAATCATTTCAACATAACACATGACAAGTCAAAGATACACTGTACTGTACAATAAGTAAATAGTTCTGTTGTGTTCATCATCTCTTTGGATCAACCAATATACAAATCTGTCACTTCTAAATTGCAGCAACTGATTGCATGTGAGATATGTAACAAAAAAAGCAAAGACTTCTCATTTTCTTTCTTTCTCCGAAGCACATCCTTTATATAATTCTCCCTGTAGTTGATAAACTCCATGCTATAGAAAATAGTGTAAGTGAATGCAAATATTCTATTTTCGTTCACCTTTTTTCACCCTTTTTATTCCAGAGGTGGCTGTTATAGCAAGTGAAACAAATAAAATGGGCTATGTCACTAAACGAGATACACAAAGAGGTTGGAATGCAAGACTTACAATAAGCTAGAAATATATAAAACTACACGTGGATGTCGCCTGCATCAGACAGTACCCAGTTCCTTACTAAAAGCAAAAAAAAAAGAGAGGGAGATAAAGGACAAGCATTATTAAGTCAAATCAGTTATACTGATGAACAAATTCCCTTAAAATGTTTGTGTTCTGCACCTAGTAGTAAAGAGGAAAGATGAGGATAAGTGCATCCCTAGTAGGTGCAGATCGAGGTAATGGAGCTACAGCCAAGCCAAGGAACAGGAACACATCTCTGAGTCAGGGGAGGGTCATGCATACACAATATACACACATATATATAAAGTCGTGCTCATTTGGAATCTCCTCTCAGTGTCAGCTAACATTATGGAAGCCAAGATCTGCCAGAAAAAGATTAAAAAAAAAGATCAAGACTACTACTAAAGAAATAATGACGGTAAGTTAAAATATGAGATATACTCAATACTAAGATAAAAGTCACAATTATGACAAAGTTATGACATTATAATGTAGAGTAAATTGCATTTCAAATAACTGAGTCAAGTAATAATCTTGTATGTATGCACATTATGTAGTAGTTGTAAGGAAATAGAAGTTAAAATGATAACTCAAAATTACATTAAGGCTTAAAAAGAAGTGAAAAAAGGTTTTACTAGGATATTTGTTCAATGTTCCCTTAAATGGTTGAAAGAAAAAGTAATTGTTTGAGGTTATTTAAAAAAGTTTACCAGATAGTAAACATCTTCACTTACAAAGTCTTAATTATGATGGTGGATTATTGTGATCAAGCATAATTAATCGTTTTTGATCTCACGTAACTTTGCGTAGTGATTTAACTTTATTTGGCAGAAATGGACTTCCATACAGATCGATTCCTTAAACAGGGCCTGTCTTTCTTTTGTTTGTTTTTACTAGAAGGATCTTTTAATGATTCAATTCACCCAGTCCTGGTTGAATCACTCTTGTGACAGGCGTCCCTAATGAGCTCAGGTGGGACAATGATATCTGTGTTTCACAGCCTGACTATACGTTTTCTACGTTTTTCACTGTTGTCTTAAAATATCTACAAGTATGTTTAGTTCCATTAATTTAAAGGCACACACATGATTCATTTTGAGCTGGAGTTGTTCCTTTTGGCAGGACAACAGCTCAGTGACCAAGGCTTAAAGTGCTAAGTTTGGGGTTATTCATGTCTGGATTTCGTTCAGTTACACTGTCTAAAAGTGGCGTGCAGATGGGTTCTGTTGCAACAGCGTTTAAAGGCAGGCTGTGGTCAGGCTGTGGCTTTGACATTTGACTGACAACAGTCTGGTTTCCCCCCCACTCAGAAATGGTGTGGCTGTTCTTTTCATACACTTGGCTGTAGAGTTTGATTAGACATTTATGAGAGAGAAACCAAAGCTGGTTACCCCAAAACAAAAAGAAAGATTTCAAAGGAGAGGGGCTCTTATTTAAAAGGATATTAGTGAAAGTTCTATCAAAAATACTGTTATTCTTTTGGAGAAGAGAAATACACAAAGGTTGATAAAGTCTACACATCAAACTAATGGCACATACATATACAGGATCAATACAATAGTAAAAACACATGAACATATAAGCTGAATTTTAAAAGAAAAAATACTCTTTTTTTAAAGGTTGAAAGTGCTAGAATTCAGATTAGCTCACAAAAACCCAGGGAGGACAAACGTAATACATGCCAAATGCTTTTCTTTCATTTACATTTTTTAGGATTTATTTCATATTTGGGAAAAAAGTATAAATGCTCAATTTGATTGCTACAAATGTGGCTAATCTAAGATGTTTTTTCTTAAAAAACACCTTTTTTGAATTGATAACAATTTAAATTTAAATCTTGCCTTTTTATATACGTATATGCTACATCATGTAAATTCTCATAAAGGTGACGTTAGCTAATTTATTTAGAATCAATACACAGTTTTAATCATCTTACAAGTCATGATCAAAATAGTGACTTTCCAGGGGGGAGACAAATATGAGTGAAATTCAGATTACCGGTAGTTCAGAACTTGGATTATAAAATGTATAATTTTAGAGATAAGGTTCATGGTCGGGGGGTTCATATCCTACAGTATAAAAACATCTTGTAGCATTTTTGTAACTGCAAAAATGTAGTTTCTTCTCCCCAGGTTTTGGTAAGAAAAAATAAAACAAATAAAAATGAGGTGATGTGTTGTGTTGTTTTTCGAGGTCCTGTTTTAAACAAACAGAAAATAATATATCATATGACAACAAACAAAACAAATATATGACTACGAGCAATAACCCAGGTTGCCAGTCAGTCATGTCCCCACCCCCGCACTTTGAATGTCAAAGCCTGGGAATTTCGGTGACTGCGTTCCTCTGGATGTATCGCCTTCTCAGACCCTTTACCTTTGACTCTACAAAGCAGCGAGAGAGGAGGCGAGTATAGGGGGGGGTTAGGGGGGGATAGGGTTCCGGGGATGATGAACACTTTGTCGGTTCTGTTTGTGCATGTTTTCAGCTCGCTGTCCCTCTTGCAAAAAAAAAAAAATTGAAATGTTCTAGTGGTCTACTGTTGTCGTCCATCAGCAACCGTAGCTAAAAGCAGCAATGTGTTTTATTTTTCATTTTTATGTGCTGTGTTTTCCTGTTTTTCTTTGTTTAACATTTAATGGCGATCGGGGCCTGTGGCGTGACGACTGCTGAAGGCAGAGTGAGCGAAGGGGCCTTTTGTATGCCTGCAAAGACACTAAAGGGAGTGTCCCAGATGGAGCTGTTCACTGGAAAAACTGAACCGTTTACTTTAATTGTGTTATGTCAACAGATTTCACAAAACTGTACTAGGTTAGCTGAAAGCAATAATATTAACTTTAAATAAAATAAAATTGGTTCAACTTAATATTATTGCTTTCATCTAACCTAATACTAATAATCTGTTGACATATTACATTTAATTAAAGTTAACGTTTCAGTTCTTTCAGTTTGTCACAGACAGAACGTTAACATTGGGCTCAGGTTTTTATAGGCTGAAGATGATTGGTTGGTGAGGATTTAAACTCCCAGTGAATCCACTGGGATCGCAGTGGGACTCACCACAGCACAGTTACATATTCCACTGGATGAGACCTCCAGAGGCCGACCATGTGAGCATCCCAACAATCTATCCAACTCAAATACTAGTTGATTATTCAGCCACTAACAGCCTTTTATAGAAGACTCGTTCTGATTCCACTACACTAACTCAAGTACATGTAAAGGTAAAGGTTGGATATGACAGAGAAAGCTTAAGGGAAAAAGCTAATACTTCATCCATTTGATAAAAACAAACGCAAGATACACACAAATGCAAACCTGCCAGACATCAAAAACATCATCACTTAGTTTTAATATGTCTACCTAAAATACACCTTACTGAGATAAAAGCAATAATAATATTCATTTTTGAGATATATTTCGTACACTGCAATAACATTCTTTAACACATTTTGACTCATCTGTCACTGAAGTTCTCTTGTTGTTTTGCCATTCACATATGTCAGGGTTCATCATTATGAATGATTATTGATGATCATTATTGATGATGCAGCTTTTTGAAAGACTGCCTAAAGACGTGTTTGTTCCAAAAATATATTTGTAGGTATGTTGGGCAGCCAAGTTATCGATATGCATTATTCTCATTGGAGCTTTTATAGATAACTGTTAGATGGAGACAGGTGAAGGAAGGAGAGTGAGGAGAACGTCTGTGGAAACCTCCGGAAGTCACGAGGAAGGAGATTCCTAATGGTCAAGTGCCTTCTGCTTTAAAGAAAAGTGCTTCTCTTGAGGAACAGTAAAAAAGCCAGCATGATATTACATCGTTTTCAACACACACTTTTACTCACGATTCTTTCTTTGTTTTTTCTTAAAAATGTGTGTGACCGAGTTAATAGGATAATAGTTAATAGTTCATTTTAGTGACCTATTTTCATTTAAACTGACTGGACTCTAGGAGCGCATAAGTGACAGGTAAAAGTCAATCATAGGGGATCATGTCATGGTTTGAAGAGCACTTTCTTCGAAGCAGAAGGGGTTTGTGGCTCTACTCAGGCTGTCTGGAGGAGGATTTTAAAGTTTAAGTTCAATCATTGTTTAAATGTCTAAATCTCTCCATTCCTTCACTGGGAGAGAGGGGGGCTCTCTGCACTGTTCATGACGTTTAGGTTATTAGAGCGGGAGGTTCAAAACTCAAGATGAGACACATTCTACCATTTTCTTACATTTGGAAAAGAAAAATAAAGTAAAACAAAATATCCACTTCAAACTATATTTTTTTCTGGGTCACAACAAGACAGACAATTTTCACTAAAAAATTATCTTCATTTTTGTTTTGTTATATTATTACCTAAAGTATGCAGAACCACGCCTTTTGGCCTACTGATGACCCTGCCCTCTATACTACTAAATAGGGGATGGGAGGGGGATAAAAAGGGAAGTAAATCGAAATAAAAAGGATGGTTTAATACATGGTTATAACTATAGGATAGGGTAGGGGGGGGGGGGNGCCTAAATAAAAGCTGCTTCAACTTCTTTTCTCACCTTCTCCTTTGAGGTTTGACTTCCTTTTAAGGCTCAATCAAAAGCTTTTGTGCACTTTCATTTAAGGCTTCTAAGTGTTCATCCGTGTTTCATTTATTATGATTCTCCAACTTCTTTAAAACAAACCACAGCCCCAGATATATCCACCGCCTCTCACTGGAAGGCCTGGTGGAAGCGAGGCAGTGTGGTGTTGCTAAAGCTGGAGCTGAACACCGGTGGGAGGTGGTGCAGGGGTCCGAGGCCCAGAACCCCACCGGAGCTCTGGTGCTCCTGAGGTTGCGGTTGCAAAGAGGTAAAAGGTGCCGTGGCGACAGCTGCACCGTGGGGCTCGGCAGCGTGCAGAGATGAGGAAGAGGAGGAGGAAGACGAGGGGGTCGCGGATGAGGTGTAGCCCATCACCAGCCCTCCCGTGCTCATGGGGGCGTTGTAGGGAGGCAGGTTGAGGGGCAGGAACCCCAGCAGGTGGGAGAAGTCCATGTTAGCAGCACACAGAGACTCAGCGAGCACCGCTGGGCTCTTGGACAGGAGGTGGTCCCCGCAGAGCTCGTCCACCAGGCCGGAGGTGGGCTCCAGGCCATCCTTGGGGGGTGAGGCAGCAGAGTGAGGGTCTGCAGAGTGGAGCGGGCCCGGAGAGCCGCTCTGCAGGTCCATGAGGAAGCTCTCCATCTCCACTTTCAAGGGCTTGTCCAGCAGGTATGAGGTAGATCCCAGCTGGTATTTGTGGGCTTGCTGGGGACCCGGAGACTGGTGGTGTGTGGGCAGCGGGGGGGAATGGTGGTGGTGGTGGTGGTGGTGGTGATGGTGGTGGTGGTGGGAGTGTGGGTGAAGAGGTCCAGGGGTTTCCATGTGACACCCCATGCCCATAGCTGCAGACAACGGACTGGGCATCAGGGACGGGTGAGGGTGACCCCCCCCAGTATTAGACATGGTCTGGAGATGGTGGGGGTTGTACATGCCCATTGAAAAAGGGGCCCCACCGGAGAACGGTTTGCCCATCATGGGGTCTTTGTTGGGCCCCATGCCGCACATCATGGGGCTGAGCTCCTCCTTCACAGAGCAGGGTGGAGACCCAGAGGCTAAAAGACCCAACATGTCAGGGGGCTCCGTCTTGATCCTCAGCAGCTCCTGAGAGTGGCTCTTCTTCACATGTCGGGTCAGGTGGTCCTTCCTGCCGAAGCGCTGGGCACAGTACTGGCACAGGAAGTCTTTTCGGCCCGTGTGCACCACCATGTGCCGTCTCACGTCCTTCCGGGTGTAGAAGCGACGGTCACAGTGATCACACGGGTGCTTCTTCTCCTTGGTGCCGCCTGAAGATTTCCCGGAGTGGCTTTTGAGGTGCTCCAACAGAATGGGGGTGCTCTCGTAGCTCTGCATGCACACTTTACAGGTGAGATCCCCCGCTGTGGCAGAGTGCATGGCCACATGGCGCTTGTACCCCAGCTTGGTGTTGTAGTGCTTCCCACACTCCACACACTTGAAGGCCTCCTTGTTGGGGTCATGGGTCTGCAGGTGGTTCTTCAGGTGGTCTTTGCGGTGGAACATTTTTTCACAGAACGAACACTGATGGGTCTTCTGTGGAGAGTGTGTGGCCATATGCCTACGAAGGAACACAAGAAGAAAGAAAGACATAGTAAATGGTTGGGGTGTTTTAGGAGAAGTTACACATTCCTTGTCCTTTTGCCACATGTGTTGGGCAGTCTGTTAGCAGTGTGCATGCTAAAGTGGGGCAGGAATTCCTCCATCGGGTCCATTTATACATACATGAGTCATAGTGGTTTGCATCCAGGACCCAAAGTGGGTTTTAAAAAAACCACATCCTGTGATTCACAGGACTCCAAACATCCTATATGTTTGAGACTTTCACGTTTGGAACCCTGTCCCAGGTCTGAGAACACTCCACCCCAAAGTCCAGTTTTCTTTATTAGTGTGAACACTGTCCCCCCCCCCTGGGGTTCATTTGGCTGTGCTCTTGAGTACAATTAATGTGGACTCGGGTATGGTTAATATCGGGTTTAAAAAAACTTTACCAAAAAAGTGTGTCCTTATTTACCGTCCTTTTAGCTCTGACTTTGGTCTCAGCCTACGGGAGGCAGTATCTGTGTTTAAAGCCTCACACTCCACTCACTGATCCTGTCTGTGTGTTTGGAGCAGGATAAGTAGTGTACTGAAACAATAAAGTTGTGGCCTGCGAAACCGAAACAACAAGCTGAAAGACACCAAAACCCAGAAATCAGTGGGATTGTTTCTGTAAACTACGCTTTTACAGACAATCAGTAATTGTATCTATATTAATCTAAAGGCAATGGTGGATAAGATAAACCTCAGATTCAGTTAATGTTTCCTGAAAATCAAGTCACTCTTTTTCCAGGTTCATACGGATTAAATACGAGCAGTGTTGTAAGTAACTAAGTACATTTACTCAAGTACTGTACTTAAAGGTAGAAGAATAAGAATGGAGAAACCAGCTTGAGTGCGCTAGAATTTGAAAGTATACAAAAAAATCTGACTTCCTTACAGAGCCCCTCCTCCAACACACACGGACGCGCACATGACCAATGAGGGTACGAGATAAGTTTGTGCACAGATGGAAGGCTGACAGGCAGGTAGGCCATCCAGTTATTTTAGCCGGTCCGGCTAAAATGACTGGTCGTGCTTTTTACAGCGCTACGGCTTCCACATATGACATTTTTTATGTATTTATTGCCAAAGCATTTCATATATTCATTGCTATCGGGATGTTAAGAGCATTCCATGGAATATAACAACAAGTGTATCTGAAGTGAATTACCTACCCCACCTTTAAGTACAATTTTGAGATACTTGTACTTTAAGTAAAGTACAAGTATCTCAAAATTGTACTTAAAGGTGGGGTAGGTAATTCACTTCAGATACACTTGTTGTTATATTCCATGGAATGCTCTTAACATCCCGATNTGTGTCGTAACAAACATGAGATATAAACACAACATATTTTTGTATTTCACGAATATCACATATGATGCAAGTATTATACTAAGTCAGGGTCATGTTTGGGCTTGTTCGGACGCTCCTGTGTGAAGTTAAGCCACCAGAGAGGCTGGTCATGGGGTGTCTTTTGAGTTCAGGGCTCTATTTGTTTATTTCTACACATTGATGGTGGTGGGATTCTCTAGCAGTTGTAATCTGGCCTCTGTCTGTCGGTGTGCGCCTTTGTGAATTGCTGTTTGAGCGGCCGCTTTTGGTTGGGGGGGGGGATGTGTCCATGATTTTGCATTCGGCTTGACCAGAACTCTGTTGTATGTCGCTTGTGTGTTTGCGGAGGAGAGAGGCAGGGAGGACACGGGCATGGTTCAGGGCAGAATGTGCGATGGCTGGGTAGGCTGTACAATAGACCGGGCTCCCTTGAGGGTGGTCAAATGGGGCGGGTGTCACCCCTGCCACCTCGCGGGCTGGGATGAGCGCACCCACACAACGCTACAGCGTGTCAGGTCGCTTTTTAACCACCGCTGTGAAACACAACATAGCCCATTATGAGAACAAAACACACATCTGGCGACACTTGCGACATGCGTGAGCATACAGGCCACACATGTGTGTATTCTTCGGGCTGCTAGAAGGAGATTACATGAACACACACACACCTTTCTCACATGTTGTAGCCACAACCTGTGTATAAGATGTTTTGTGCCATTTCTATGTAAACATGTAACATTTTAGCATCTGCAAAAGCAAATATGTATTGATTTCCTCCCATTTGCTTAACCTCATTGACCTTCCGACGAGATCCGGCTAGTACATTGGAGCTGTGATGTATGTGCATTCTGTCACATATGCCCACATGTGTTTACGGTACTTGGGCCCGCGCTCTCGGGCGGCTCCGCCGAGCGGAACATTGTGATCAGCGTTGTGTCCTCAACCTGCGACTGAGCTTGTGTGTTTAGCAGCTGAGGTCCACAGAGGTCACTGAGGTGTAGAATAAGGGGAATGTGGAGATGAGAGGAAGAGAGCTTCAGCAGGAACACCGTTTAATATAGTTTGTGGTTGATTTTAATTTTAAAAAACTGCAGTTCGGGTGGGGGGACAGGTTCTGGCTGTCACAATGGTTCCACGCTCAAAGTTTGAAACAGTACTGCTGGTTAGTGGGTTGTCCCCCCCCCCCACCCCCCCCCCCCCCGGCTTAACCTTTTTAGCCTGGCCATGTTTTTGTGTGTTTCTCAGGAGATTCCAAGAGTCTTATCAAGTTTCATATAAGTACATACATGTACACACATAAGCACACACAAGCTGACTGTGCAGTATTATTGGTCTTAAGACATGATGAGGGATGAGGCTGGTCCTTTTCATTCAGTTTTCTTTTTACAAATACATTTTTATGCTTAGACTGCGACTGAGAATGTAATCATTCACAAAACTTTTTTACTCTGCAGTCAGACTTGTAATTCAACGCCCCCTAGTGAGCTCAGAGCAAACTGACTTTTCAGATGAAATTTGAGGCGACATATTTAAGTTGGAGAGGATTCATTTTTTTTTAATGATATTCTGACATTTTGAGTTGTTGTTTACATCAACAGATTTACCCAAAAATCGGCCAATGCTTTAAAATAAAATTAACTTCTGAGCTACTTTTTGTGGACTGACCTTTGTTTTTGTCATGCTTACTCTCTCCTGCAGGACAGTAAAAATGCAGAGCAGTGTTTCCCACTCACCGCCAACCATAGCTGTTGGGACTGGGTGAGGAGAAGAGACAAGAGAGAGTGAAGAAGAGGAGCGAGTGAAGCAGAGAGAGGAGGAAAGTGCGGAGAGAAAGAAGGACAATAAGTATTTCAACAGGTAAAAAGTTAGCAGCAGAATATGTTTCATTCTCACCAAGGGTCTTCATTACTCACTGCCCTCTGAGGAAGACTTATTCAGTCACTCTGCCTCAGCACAGCAGGAAAAATAATAAAAGTCCTCGCACCCTGGACACCATCGGATCGCTCTCCTGCCCTCTGGTAGACGTTATAGCCACCAGAAGTCGAACAAAAAGACTCAAAACTGTTTTTTACCACATTTGGTAACAAAATAATGGCAAATGCTACAAATAGTCATCAAAACACAATTATTCCTGAATTGATGTATCTATTTATTTATTAAGTGTTCAACTCAGACATGCAAATGTCTGGTTTAAACTTACGCTGAAACTGAAACGTTGACTTGTTATGTCAACAGATTCCATATAACTTTATTAGGTTAGTTGAAAGCAATAATATTAAGTTTTAAATAAAAAATATTGTGTTCAACTTAATATAGTTGCTTTCCACTAACCTGATACAGTTATGTGAAATTGGTATACACTTAATTCAATTCAACGTTTCAGTTTTTCAGTGCAGTTATTTGGAATGCATTTATACATTTCTTTGAGTGTATAGATACATATATATATATATATATATATATATGTATGTTATTGCTTGTTGATATGTAGATGTGCACTGACAGGATTGCTTTGTACCTGTACAATGACAATAAAGGAATTAACTTCAGATACATTTTTCCACAAGCTTGGAAACGGCTTTAAAGCATGTTCTTTCTATCACACAGCAGATTTTGGCTTACCTCGATGTCCCCACTGGATTATTGGCTCTTCCTGTGAGCTGTTGAGCATCTTCTCTTTTTTCTGACAAACCCCCCCACTCCTACGTTGAGCCTGGGAGGTCCACCAGTGGGTTTTCATGGCTGCGGCACTCTAGGGCTGCCATGGCAGCTGCTGCCGCCGATGCCTCACAACGTTTTACCACACTGACACCGGAGGAAGAGGGACGACGGACCGCCAAGCTGTTTGGGAGCGCCCCGCTGCCACGGATAGAGAGAGAGAGAGAGCGAGAGAGGGAGAGAGAGAGAGAGAGGGAAGGAGGAGAGGGAGGGGGAGCGAGCGAGTGTCTGGTGTGCGGGGCCCTGTTGGCCTCACAGGAGAAGCTCCGGCTCCACGCCCTGAGTCACACGGGAGAGAAACCCTTCCACTGCTCACAGCCACACTGCCCCAAGGCCTTCAGCTCCAAATACAAACTCTTCAGGTACTGACCGCCCCCCCATACCGCTCAGTACCACTCACATCCTTTAAATGCAGAATTAAATGACTATATAACTTTCTCAGAATCCCCAATGAGCAGCTTAAAAAGGCTATCATCTTTTACTTAAATTCAGAGGTGGGAGAAGTACTCATATCTTGTACTTTTAGTAAAAGTACTCAGATCTTGTACTTGAGTAAAAGTAGAAGTACCAGAGTGTAGGAATACTCTGTTACAGTAAAAGTCCTGCATTCAAAATGTTACTCAAGTAAAAGTACAGAGGTATTAGCACCAAAATATAGTGAAAGTAGCGACAGTAAAAGTAGTGATTGTGCAGATTGGTCCATTTCAGAATAATATATATGATATGTTTTATAATGATTGATCATGAAAGTGTTCTCAAAGCTGGTAAAGGTGCAGCTAGTTTGAATTACTTTGTATACTGCAGGGTAGCTTGTGAATTTACTCCAGGTGGAACTAAAGTCTGATTTAACACTTGATTATATTTCACATCATTCATCCACATCTGTGAAGTAACTACAGGTATTAAATACATGGAGTGGAGGAAAAGTACACCATTTAAGTATGAAGTAGCAGAACATGGAAATACTCAAGTAAAGTAAACTCTAAATTAGTTCTTTGACTGTCTGAGGTACTTATCTTAGAACTCTGACAATAACTTTGTCTTCGCACCGGATGTCAAACATAGACCAGAAAATACTTACAGTTCTTACAAAAATATAAATTTTAACACTCAACAACCAATGATAAGAGAGATTGTCTACTTCACTTGTAAACTCACAAGGAAATCAAACGTATGATTGAAGAACGTGGATTATCAATGGGTTATTAAACACGGTGTGTGTCTTAAAAGAGATTCTTGTGGTTTTGGAGTAAAAATGGAAGAATTTATAAGTCCAACTCCAGTAATTGTAAAACCTAACTTGGCTCTCATGACCATCAAGAAGTTAATTATTTTACTTGGTAGTTTTTATGGTCCGAAAAGGGATTATTAACACGTTGTCACACACTCTAGAGGTCGTCCCTTGTCTCTCAGTCACTTGAGTGGACTCTCAAGAGGTCAACCGTCCGACCTGAAGAGGTCTTCTAGAGAGTCGTCGAATTAGACTTAGGACGTCTTACGAAGGTGAGTCCCAGGTCTAGGGGAGTCTGACCGCTCACCAGCCTGAAGTTCTCCCCATTCTCTCCCCTACTCCGGTCTCGTCTTGCACCTAGAGACTGTCCTGACGCGAGAGGTCAGACTATTCTTTGGTACTACATGTTTAGGTTACTATAGTTATAGTCTTTCTTCGTCACCCAAGTTATTCTGTGTGTTCTCAGTCTAGGTTATTCTTTGTGTAGCTACGTAATAAAATTTAACTTCGTCGTCAAATAGTAAGCTCGTCGAGACACTTCGTAAACTTTTACATAAACGTCGGAGACACGTTCAGAACAAAAGACAGAAATCCCGTCTCCACATTTCATTGTAATTCATATGTAAATGAGTTCATGAAC